CTCTCGGAAAAGGCAGTGACCCATGTCAAACAGGTTCATGTAGTTCATGAGTCAAGCTCCAAAGATGGATGTTATGCTAATCAACCACAATGAACAGGAAATTGTGTTGTATGTGCTTTTGGGTTTGGACTCTGGTCCTATTTCAATTGCACAGATGTAGGTTCCTAAACTAACAGTGATCTCCAGGGAAATGTTCATCAGCAGCACAAACTAGACAAATGCATGGCTATACTCTAGACACCACACTGTCCTGAAACCATTTTTGCTGCTGTTTTGTTAGAATATCTAATTGCTCTAAGAATGTGTATTTCCACTCCAACTACTTTTACTCTCCTTGAGCAGAAGAACATTCACTTTCATGAATAAAAGCACTGAAGTGTGTCTCTTACAGAGGGAAGTACCTTACAAATATTGTCAAATCCACATAGCAACCTTACTATGATCAGCCCAATTTTATAGATAAGTAAGCTGAGGATTCAAATCATTTGCCTGCCTTTAATTAGTGTAGAACCAATGATCAATAGCTAGGTCTACTTGAATTCTAATTTCAGGGAGAAATTCACTCATGAATTTCACTACATGAATAAATGAATGCATGAATTAAATCCTTAGCATTAAAGAAGGCAGAATTTGCCACTTAAACTATATCTCTGCTACAACAGCAGGTCTATAAATGATAGCACAGTTATTTAAAATCTTGAAGGCATCATATCTTGTACTTTATAGCTACAGTACCTTTTGCAATGCCGCACAAATACAAGGCATTTGTAAGATATTTGTTGAATCAGGAAATATTTTAATTCAACATAACAAACTATAAATGGATGTAATGGCTTCCTGGGGTCATTTTCTTTCTTCTGTGGCAAGTTCCTTTTATGAAAGAAGATTTTTTTTTTGAAATTTGAATTAACGCAAATTTCAAAATGAATGGGATTTGAATTGGTAAGCAATTTTTGGCTCCAAGTACTAATTTCTTAAGAAACCTCCAAACATGTGGTTGGTTCATACTACAGAGAGATCTAAATTCTAGCTCCCAGCTTTTCCAAATATGGTCCACTCCATATACATATAAATCCTAGTAATAACAGTGCAAATGATAATGTCTAAGTATTGTCAAAAATATAATGAGTCAACATCTTAATAAATACATGTTGAGGTGAAATAAATCCCACTCCAACCTGTGAAAACTTGAATGTCCCGAATTTCATAACATACTTCTTGATGGGCCCTTTCATTAAATGTAGTCATTGCCACTTAGGACATTACTGTGCAAAGAGTGGCATAGAGAAACAGCAATATTAGCTTCTTTTTTTCCCCAAAGAGTCCATAAAAGGACTGTGAATATATCCCCTACCTTCATGTCTTCATTGTCTCTCACTGCAGCAAAAGAAAGCTGTGTAATTATTCTAAAGATTTACCAGCCATTACATTCTACACATTGTCCCTGATTACCTGAGTTTGTAGGTGATTGTTACCAATGAGAGATATTAATAAGGTCACTTACCATCTCTACATATCACATTTATAAAGAAGCATGTAATGTCACTTTCCCTATCTTTTAATGTGAAGATTATATGTGATAATGTATACAGAATTATTTTTGAGCAATGAAGTGTTATACCATTATAAATTATTAGAAAAGAAGGAAAACAGATTTGATAAGACATACTTGAGAAGTATTTATAATTTTGTTCTTTTGCAGTTAATATGCATATGTACATTCACACACGCATATATATACACCTGGGCAAAATTGGCATGTATATACATGGCTGGATGTATGAATCACTTTACTGCATAAAACTTTAAAGAGTTAATGATGCACATTAAAATATGTTCTCTAATTGCCTCGATTGTTTTTTGATTCAGAGCTATTGTATTTTATAGAGCAATTATACTTATTATTTGAGTGTCAACTTGATAGTAGGCATTGGGTTATGGTGTTCATATACATTATGCAGTCTATTCATCACAATACCACATAGGTAGGTAATACTGTATCTTTTCCATATAGATAAACTAAGGCCCAAAGGAACTAGGAAAGTGCCCCAAGGTAATACTGCTGGCAATGACAGTGGCAAATTCTGCATTTAGTTCTGCCCATCTACAAAACTTTGCTTACCAATTCAAATCTCATTCATTTGAAATTTGTGTTAATTCAAGTGCAGCATATATCATACTTTTCAGGTATAAAGTTCAAATGAATTTCATCCTTTGTGAAATATTAGAGTTCCTTTGACCTAAACTGATCAAAAATGTACATTTTTTTTTTTTCAAAATAGCCAGTAGCTTTAGTGTGTGTATGTGTGTGTGTGTATGTGTGATGTCTTAGGAGGTTTATAAACCCTGGGTCATATGATACATAGTATCTTCTACTATAGGTTACTAAGAGTTGCAGCAGGGCCAATGGCCATGAATTTTACTCACTAGTAACCAGAGTTCACATAAGGAATATTTTGAGTGATCCTACTATGTGTATATCATGTCTTAAGTGATGAAACCACGTGAAGGCCGTGAGGAGGGTTTACAGAGATGTAAAAGATACCCCTCAGGGAACCTACAATCTATCCTTTCAAAAAGAAGCCAGCATGTATGAAGCAACCAAAGAGTCAGATTAATCTTAGAATACATTAGCAATACTTAGAAGTAATAAAGCTAAATCAAAATTTCTTCAAAGGATTAAGTCCCTCAGCCTTTAACTCAGTCTGACCTGCTTCCCCTCACATGCCAATTAGAGTTCAAAGGAAAGATTCATACACCTCATTTACAGATCCATTGAACCTTGGGCACAAATGATAAATCCTTAATAAGTCAGAAAGATAGCTATATTTATTCTTAAAATTAACTAATTTGCACACTGAGGTTAAGTGATTTGCCTAAAGACAATTCATTGAAATTTGTGATAAAACCCCACAACTCCATTGCATACCTCACATCACTGACCTCTCTCTCTCTGACTCCTGTGTAGGAATGTTCATGTCAACAGAGACCACAGGAAAGATTCTCACATTAAACAAGTTCACATTTACACATGGAGCCAAACAGAACAAAACAAAACACTTAACTAAAATATTTAGAGAATTTCAAGATGAGCAAAGAGAGACCCCAAAAGCTTTGAACAGAATATATAACTGAAATTTAAAGATAGCTCTTTTCTTCTTTTATCTATTCTCTGACAGCTGACTTGTGCTTATTCAGTCGTTGCAGTGAAAGAAATATATAGAGGGCCTCCCAGGTGGCGCAGCAGTTGACTGCTGGGTTGCGAAGCTGCCTGCAGCCTCTGCAGCGCTGGTTCAGTCCCCGGCTGCTTCCCAGCCACCGGAGGAGGGTCCCGCATGGCCTGCAGACCTCTCCTGCCACCCGCTGCTCCCCTCAGCAGTGTACTTCGTCAGTCTGCCTGTTCTGTTCCCCACTCTGGCTCTGGTGAATTCTCTCACCCTCCCACGCTTCTGACTGTACCCAGTGCTTGTATAAATAAATAAATTTAAAAATCTTAAAAAAAAAGATAGAAAGTAAATGCATGCAACAAGCAAAATCAAATGGGTTGGTTAACTCTAGTGTCTAAATTCAACTCTATCAGGGGTGCAATTTTTAAACTACCAGTGGCATTTCAAGTTTTGTGGAAATAGTAGGTGTGTGGTCCTTGGCCCAGCACAAGCAGCATCTTGAAGTTTCCACTGTAGGATGTCTTCAGATATTTGAATAAAACAAATCTTTAATTGAAAATAAACAAATACACAAATAAAAATAAATTCAGTTCTTTGCCTATTTGATTTTATGAATTGCACACACACACACAAGCTGTGGTTCTATAACAATGAACTCTTTTGGATTGACAATCTCAGCAAACTACCTTTTGTCACTAGGGGAAGAAAATCTTGCAAGTTTTTAAGAAAAAGGTATATTGCATTATTCATCTTTGAAAGAACTAAAGCTAAAATGATAATCAAAGGCAAAGTACACCTTAAGATGACTACAAAGTGTGCTATTAAATAATCATCACTATAACACAAATTTTATTTAAAAAATACTAGGATTAGCTTCACTGAATAGACAGCAAATATCAATAACATGCTATCATATGTATTGAAATAGAAATTAGAACAATAATGACCCAAGCAGTCCTTAGTGTCCTTTTTATTCACTATGACTTAAGTTATTTCAAGCACTTCATGTTGACCTGGGCAGTTGTATCAAAACAACATTTTGCAGCTAAGATATATAGAGTCATTTTCACAAATTCCTTATTTTTAGTAAAAGATTCCATTGTAATTTTGCTGGATCTAAACCTATCTTAGATAACCCAAATCACACAAAACTTTGGGGATAGAAATTAGCATAATTGAAATAATTCAATTTTTGGTAATTATAATTCTCACTTAAGCCTAAATTAAATATGCCAAACTATAATTATGTTCAAATTTGCATCATGAAATTATCCCCATTTTGCTCGTGGCATCTTAAAATATCTAATAAGGGATCTTAAACTCTTCAGTTTTAGTCAAGAGACCTTATTTTTACAGCCTTTGGGAAGAAGAGACCTATTATGCATTAAGCACAGTTATTCCACCTCTTGGGGAAAGGCAAGATGGGTCCATTATTTCTTCAATATATGATGTGTGGGATTTGTGCCATAATCTTTGGGTAGCTCTAAGTTAGACAGCCATTAATGAATGCTTAGTGCCACAGCAGATGGTAATAGCAGCTTTTTGGGGAGGGAAACCTTAAGCAAAGCAGGTCATGCTTTAGGACAAATGTAATGGGCACAGAATATACAGAAAAGGCTAGAACACTTTAAAACTGGGCACTTAAAAATAAGCACTTCTTTGCTGTCCATTTTTAAATGATTAAAGATGAAGCAATAAGAACTCACCTTTCAGCCCTGGAAATTGCTCACTGACTCTTAAGAATACTATAATCAAACAATATTATTATTTACTGGGGATGCAAAGAGAAAATATCTCTAAAGTACTGCAGAGTAAGTTGTCTGTTTAACTAACCTTTCTGCTATTTGATTTCATTAAATTAGCCAGTTGATGTGATTAAACTTGCAAGGTGGTTTATTTATCTTCATCTTCTGTACAGTAGGTGGATAAAATCTGGGAATACATTGGTCAAGAAATAGATGAGTCTGGAGATGTAGAGCTGGCACATCGTCAAAGCACACAATGCATTTCTTACAAAAAAAAACATGAATATATCTCCAGTTGAGTAAAATATTCACATTAATACTGGAATAAAGCAGAACCCTGGCTGACATCCCATCTGTTCTTATGAATTAAATTTAGAAATCATATGTAATATAGACATTTCTGTCTGAATATCATAAAACCCTGACACATCCAGGCTTTCATTAGAAAGCTCTTCGATGTGACTTGAATAACAATCTGTCTTAGCTAATTAGTATTTTCAGTTTAGCATATTCACTTCCAGACATATTGCTGTTTGCACATGGTAATTTAGGTAAACAGATACCATCCACAGCTGCATCAATTAACACTGCTAATCAAAACTGAATTCAGGTAATTAGGCACATTTATGCAAAAAAATGTGTAATTTTGGAGAAAAGCTAGATTTTTCAGTAATATGTCAATAAGTAAAAATCTCCTTTTGCTTATGAAGATGAAGAATGAGGGGAGAGAAATCATCATTAATATATACATCATGCAGACAGAGTAAAAATTCTTAAATTAAATCTCAAATTTTAATTGGTCTGTATTTTCAGAAATTGGATCATATTTTTCATAAATGTTTTCCTCAATGTTTCCACATAGTAAAGTTGATTTACATCTGCCTAAGGGTTTAATCATCATCCAGCAGGATTCAAATGGTTAATGAATTCTCAAGTATTTATATAATTGAGATGTTGGTCAAACTTGCTCTTCCATCTTGCCTAATGCCACTGAGGGAAGATGTTCTTAGTTTTTCTTATTTTCTTACACATTTTCACTTTCTCTACTGCAAAGTACTTTCATTTACAGTTAGAGTCACAATAGCAGTTTCTTATTTTCCTACAAATATTCTTAAACATTACCCTAATTCTACACAATACCTTTTAGTAGCTTTTTCATTCATTTTTGAAATGAACACTGTGAATTATTTTTTCTGTTTTCATATAAAAAAAGCAATTTGATAATTTTCATTAAATAATCATCTCAGAAAAACTAGTTATTAATTGTTGGTAATATCTGACTAGTGACTTAATATGGGGTGGTAGGAGATTGAAAGTTAATTAAAAGTAAAGTAATACATAAAATTGGGCCATTTCTAAAGCATTCTGAATTATATATATAGAAATATATCACCTATTGATCACTTGATCTACCTACCTGTCTATCATCTCAGCTTCTTTCTCTTTTCACACTTTGAAGCTTAGATTTATTTCTGAGCAGAAACACCAGTCCTTTATAATAAAATATTGACTGCAGGGTCTCTGGCTTTATTTTGATGGTAATAGTCACTTTGAATCCAATTTAACAAACATTTTCTCAGGACCGACCATCTCTCAGTCACTCTTCTAGGTCTTGTGGACAAAGAGGTGGATTTAGATCTAGCACCTTCCTCTGAGTCAAGCTAAGAGGGTTCACAGACCAAAAGAATCAACTTGTACAAGGTGGACTAAACCTCCAGGTAAAAATCTGTCACTTGCGAATGCTTGGGACCTCCTGGGCAAGTTTTATAGAGGTTTAATTTTGGTCTCACTGGGCTAATTCTTTTGTTCTCATAATATATTTGGAAATGAGAACCAAAATTGTTTTTTCCAAGTAGCATGATGGCCATTTTTTTCCTACTGCAGCAATCCCAAGTAATTTGTATGTTTACTTTGTTTATATTTATCAATAACATTTTTTCCCACATATTCCTTTAAATGCATTTGGCATAAACAATTGGACAATCCCCCATGGAACAGAAATATAACAGACTCTGTGCTCATCTCCTGTTTCAAGAACAGGAATGATAAAATACAGAGGCACATTCTTCGGAGTATGTTCAAAATACTCAACCAATGAAAGTGTATGCGTTGGGACTTTGGCACCCCTGACTTAAACTCTAGTAAGCAGAATTATTTACAAATTGTGAATAAAAGATTGGTAAGCACTACTATTTTAAAAACAATTTTTAAATGAGCCTAACAAATAGTTTTCAATCAACTAAATGACAAATATTTGGGGAGCAGAATTTCCGGTCTCCATGAAACAAGACAACTAAGTGAAGTTCATGGCCTGTGTGAAAGTGCCAGTGAATCAATTCTGCATTCTAAACTACCTCTTCCTCTTTCTCAGAAGTGAGTCATGAAAGAATTAGTACTTTCATTGTAGTTTCTGCATTTCAGTAAGTTACTTCATCTGGGGGAAGTGTTCATCTGGAAATCCTGTGCTCAGAGTCACCAAGTTTTAACAAAATGGAATGCCATAGATATTGCAATAACAGCTCTGGCGAAGATGTTGGCATATGGCACTGACTTCCAGCTCAGCCTGTGCCATGGACTAGCTGTCTGATTCCAGGCAAATCACTCTCTGCTCTGCATCCAGTTTTTGGTTCATAAAATGAGGCTCCTAGACTCACCTCTTTGTGTTGGTTGCAGGGAGTACCTGGCATACAGGAGATGCTCAATAAACACTTGTTGAAACTGAGTCAGCGATGGTTCCAGACCATTTCCATCACAGTTACCTATTAAGGCAGTTCTCTAGTTTCCAAAGTAATATATGGAGATGGGGTGATAATCATAATATGAAAAGCAAGGAAAGCATCAATAGGCCACATGCCACTACAGTACATTAGGTAGCCTTCCTATTCACTTGAGATGAATGCTAGGAAACTAACCCTTTTAATTAGCTGGAAAGTCAGCATCAGAGCATTTATGGTCACCAGAGTATTTTTATTATTTTATCAAACAAATTATAAGAAAGAATTCACTTGACCAATTTTATTAACCAGATAATTTTATTCTAGAATTACTGTCTGTTAAGGAGAATGACAGCTTTAAAAAAATTCATAGGTGACTTCTTGACAATTATTGATTTAAAATCCTGAAAATCCTATAGTTTGCTACTTGTTAGCGCTCTTTTAGCTCAGTACAATAAAATTGCTCATGGCATCCTTGCTCTAAATTTTTGTGGAATTAAATTAAATTGTTGACTCACAAACAATAGGCAGTGAATAAATGACACCACTGGTCACTTTTTAAACAGAAGGACGCCAACTAAAATATGTGGTGCATGAAAATATCAAACAGATTAATTTTGGCTTGTTAATGGCAACGAATGTTATTTCACAACTATAAGAGAAAATGTCAGGTCTGGGACTGGATGGATTAGAGGGGAACAGATTGCCAGAAACAAAGGCAACAAAGAAATAAAAATCTCTTCTTAGCACACTGAAGCAAAACAAATGATTGGATTTGGGATTTAACAAAATAATCTTATTTGCCTTTGCTCTTTCACCAATTCTTTTTTCTATACTAAGATAATATGAATTTCACTTTCTCAAGTCATGATTTTCTTTGATGAAAAAGATTGCTAATAATTAATGGCAACACAGAGAGAGATGCTATCAGTAGTTTGGCACATTAGATTTCTGTGCTTAGGGAATGTTGCATTTGCAATAAATTTTAATGCAAAGGTATTTTCATTTGGTTCTGGTAAGAGGTAAAACAAGAATAATCAAATTAGAGAAGACTGCTGAGTTATGACTGAAGAATTAATCGTGCTTATTCTGGGGATTTAATTTAGCGATAGTATTTTTTTTTTCTTTTCGCGAAAATTACCTTTAATAAGAAAACAAGTATTATCATGAAGCAAATGGATTTCTTTTTAAGTTTGACAATCCAGTGTAACAAAGCTAAAGCTGATAATCTGTATTTTATCAGGCAAGGTACAGAACACAATATTTGTTTACAATTTATGGTTGAATACTAGTTCCACGATTAAGAATTAGGAAATTATCCTCATAGCAAACAGATCTCGGTTAAACATATTATGAGTCTATGCTGCAAGGCATTACCCAGATCTCTGGAGGATGCCAGAGTCACTTTGCTCACTGAATAATCTCAGTCACTCTATCACAAGTTTTTCATCTTTGACTTTCTTCATAGGCCTGGAATAGAAACCAGCTTTCTGAAGGGGATGAAGAAAGTACATGAAAAGCTTGTGCAAAAATAAACTATAGCACCTCAGGCTTCTTAATTTTTACACGATAGTGCCTTGGACTTTTCTGCCTTGACACATTCAAAGGAAATGCTTTGATGAAAAGAGAGAGAAATAAATTACATATGGAATGAAGAGAACTTTTATTATCATTTTAATAGTCCACAGACACATAAAAGGAAGAAGCATTCACTATGAGGTGGGACCTAAAACTAAAAATATTCAGACTTGATAATAAAAAAATTTAATATGATATGAAAAATGGAAACAGTTTTTGAAGCAACACGAATGTGCCGGCTTTCACAAAGCCTTCAAAAAATTTTTACAAAGAAAAATAAAATTAAACCATTAAATGGATTTGAAAAATGAGAGTTTTCTCCTCTTAGGATATTTCTGAACTTAATTGCTAAATTTTCAATTCAGCATTTCATATCAGATATCATGAGGAATGAAATCGCAGATATTAGAAACAATCAACTTTTATGAAAGCTTCATAAGTAAACATACCAAAAAGCTTCAATTTTCAGGAGCATATAGATTTAACACGGATATAATATGCAGTTTGGGTGGTGGGCATTAGATTAGAGTAGAGATGTCTGGTTTTGAATCCTAACCTATTCTTCTCCAATCCAGGATATTCCTAGATGGTTTTCCTATGAGAGAGTGCATTTTCAGTGTTTGGAAACTGCCTTCAGGCTCTCTGCTTTTATTGGGCTGGTAGGTTTGGTGTTATGAACAGGGAGAGTGATCCCTGGGACTCTTCCCACAGGCTCTTAATTTATCTATACATTATTCTATATTCCCTGTCACTGGGAGGGACTTGGGAGCTATGATCCTTCCAAAGTAGAACCCTGTTCAGACGTGGAAAAACGAAAATTGAAACAGGAGGGTTTTTTTTTATTATTATTGTTATATGAATGACATATGACCTGCTCGATGTTTGCATTTAAATTGACCAGAATAATTCAGCTCCGGCTTTTAATTTTAAAAGGGTTAATAGGCCTAACAAAGGTCAATCAAACTTTAATCTTCAATAAAATTGCTACAGCTCCAATCACCGACAGGACATTTATTATATTCTTATTTCCATGCGAAAGAATGCAAGGCTTTCATTATGCATCACTAATCTCCAACGCTTTACATTAGCACATTTTACCAAAAATATTAATTCCTTTGAAACTCTGACAAGAGTTCATTTCTACACATCTCGGGAGATAATCCTGTTTAAAAGAACGTGTGCATCAGCTCTGAACTACTTTTCTGGCTCTTTCTAATCCTCATAGACCTTCGCTACTTCAGCAGAGTTCTTACAGTAGTAAATTTCAATTACACAAAATACTATGGAGGTTTAAGGTTAAAACAACATTATATTATTTTAGAAACTTAATCTTCCCTATTGTCGGTGATGATGCCATTCATCTACTTCTATGTGTCCATAATAATATTTACCGCGTACAAAAGTTATTGATTTAATATTAACCATATTTGAAAAACAGTAGAAAGACTTAGCTTCATTAATTTGAATATTTCACCTGATATATGTAAATTGAGTGCCTATTGAATGCCAGGTAGTAGGAGGGGAGTGATGGCAAAGGAAAATCAGAGTAACATGAGAATAACATTCTTTTCTAAAAACAATGCTCAGCGTGTAATAAAATGATGATTTAAACCTCTACTTTCAGCTTTTCTTATCAATGCCATTAAATTTTAGTAAAGATTAGAAATGTGCTAAGTCCAATTTTAACCAAAATTTCAAAGAACATTTTTTTAAGTGAGCGAGACACTGAAAGCTTTGAAAATTCATAGTCCCATAAAATAATTCATTTTTAAGAACATGAAATTTGATTTTCAAATTTAAAATGAGTATATCAGAATATATAGTGTCCTACAGTCAGAAATAAAACCATGAGAAAATTTAAAAGCACTTGTTAAAAAATAGACACTGTACATTAATTTGTTTCCAAAGTGTTATTTCAGGATGTTAAAAAAACTGCTATTAAAAGAAAAGACAAAAAGCAACGGGCAAAGAAAAATTTCTGCTTTTTCTTTTTTTGCCATGATATAGTGGCCTGGATGATCGCAGAGGGAAAATAAAAGAATCTTAACGCATGTCCCCAATTATATTGCAAATTGATTGCCTTGTATTATAGCAGTGGTGTGACAAAGCATAAATAACCCAAACTTCTGCATATTTTTTGAGATGCCTTCTTCTCTCTCTGTACTCAGAGGAAGCATACAGCACATACACAGAGACATAGGCCCCTCCTTATCAATATTCACATGCATTAATTAGCAATATGTGAAGGCTATAATTTAGGAAACTCCCCAGAGCTCTAATATTTAATCAAGCAAAGCAAATCACAGTAAAAACAAAATACAGGTATAACAGTTAATCGCCAGACTGACACTGGGGAATAGTACATAGTTTCAAGAAATACTGGTCTGTCTAAATGTTGTAAAAAAAACCCAATTACTTTGTTTGACTAAAACCAAGACCTTGATCCTTCTTCCCCTCACTTTAGCAATTCTCGAAACGAAAACAGCACCTCTACATATTTTATAACCATGCTTGCTTTACCCCCTTTGCTTCTATAACTAGGTTGGCACAATAGAATAAATCAGAGTAATAGCTTTTACATTTTGAACAAAATAAATCCAACACTATGTAATACAAATGTTCAATTGATATTTGTTACCAAAAAGGTATTCTGAAAACTGATCAAGATGAGCTAGTCACAAAAACAGGCAAACCATTGCTTTATATTCCATCCTAAGTATCCAAACCTATTTCACTGTATTTCTGAATTTCCAGATTTGGAGGAAAAAAAAAACAAAGCTTCCAGAAAATATGCTGTAAATGCTCAAGAAGCATATGCATCTTTCTATGAATCACTTTTGTAATGAAACAGTAAACCCAACAACTAACAAACAAAAATCTTTATATGAAAGCTCTGGATTTGGAATTATGAAAGACACATACCTTTGGTTGAACTAGTTCAGGATTTCTCATCTTGCCTACACAGCACTGCCGTTCCACCTTGAGTAAAAGTCGAATCCGTGTCCCTTATGATCTTGGTGACAATGCTATCACATCACTGGCAAATTTTTCGATTAAACTTTGCAGATGTAGTAGCAACTTCGTTAATTATGATATTAGCCAGCTGGCGGAGTATAGTCAACCGCTGTAAGAAAGCCAGACAAAGAGACATCTAATCATTGCAACCAAAGCAGATAAATTTTGTTCCTTTCTCATACGTGTCACAGATTCTATCCCTTCTGACCCTCTCCTCAGCCATTGACTGTCAAATTTAGATTCTGCGAGCTCCCAGCTTCCCTTTATCCTTGCCTTAGATCTGAAACTCCTGGTTATCAGGAAGACACACGTCAGCAGCTGTCTCAGAGCAGGAAAGCGATCAGGTGAATACGACTTATTATCTTGCATTGCTTTCCGAGGAATGACAAGATTGATTTGGGACCAAGAATACACTCAGATCTCAGACATGTACTTCCTAGGGTTGTGAGTTCAAACACTAGGGTAAATGAAACATTGCAATATGACTTTGATCCCAATATTAAAGATATGGGATATAGAAATTGGAGGATTGTTAAAAAAATCTATCAGATTTGTGTTTTTTTTTTCCCCCAGATGTCTCTGTATTTTCTTTTCCACTGCTGTTCTGCCTGGTAATGTCTATTGGCAGATAGTTACCCAGTGGAACCAGCTTTTTGTCTATGCAGCCTTGAGTCAACCCATGGGGTGGTGTTCTGACACTGAAGTTGTATCCACCCATCCCTTTTTCAACAAGAAGAGTACTCTATAAATTACAATTCCTGGAACCTGTATAGTTCATATTATATTATAGGGAATACTATAAAAAGCTGATTGGGCATCTCAGCTAAGAATAATTTATACAATTTTGGATCAAGAGATAGACATCTATACATCCTAATACAAATTGTCCCTTCAAAAACTCAGTCTACTGAAATCACAGAGATGTGTATATCTATCCATTGTCTGACTGATAGGTCCAAAAACATAAACATATATAGAATGAATTTACATATATATTTAGAATATGCATACCATTCCTATATAATGATAGTACAATATTTTTGAAAGTGAAGCATTCAGTTGATCAGTTAAGAACTTGATCTGCATGGCTAGGTCATATTTACTAAAGAATTATTTTTTCCCATGGAACTGCTTAAGCAATGGTGAAGTAAACAGTTTACACTGTAAAGGTTAAGAAAAAGTTATATACAATATGATAGTTACATATTATCAACAAATTTCAGGACAAAAGAATTGGTGAAAAGCTAAAACACATAATGTTTATTTTATGTAAGAATTCTACACATTTGGCACCCTAAATGAACCAAAATAGTTGTCTTTACCTGGGAAAAATTGCAGTTATAGTGTATTGCATTAATAAATTAAATCATGTACCATAAAGTTGCATATTATTTTTAGACAAAGATGTTCCTGTAAGGGAAGGTCCAAAATTCCTGTCACATACTTGGCTTATTTAGCCTGAAGTCCTGAAAGATAAAGTATTTAGATGCAATCTAAAATATATGCCATGGGAATAAGATGATTTAGGGATACCCAAAACTACAGAGCAAGATACTTTCATCCTAGAAAGATGAAAGGGTTTCTTAAATCCCACAGAACAGAGATGAAGAGGGGAAAATATGACTTCAGGAATACTGATAATTTCTATGTGGTCTGGGGTGTGTGTGTGTGTGTGTGTGTGTGTGTGTGTGTGTGTCCGCACATACACATCTGAGAGTAAGAATTCTTTATCCTTCATATTTTCTCTTGGGCTGATGTAAAAAGTGAGTCAGATTCCAAAAAGCAAAAGAACAGAGAAGCTGGAAATGTTAGAGGACACAATGTCAAGAACAAAAATATCTTAGATCTGATTTTTAGTAATGACCCACTAGGAACTGAACTGTGTTCATCCCATTTACCTCTGTGGCTTTGGCAACCATCAGGTTCAAGGCACATGGTAATTTCTTAAGGAAAACATGTTGATGATAAATGAATATTTTGTTGCATACACCATCCTCAGCAAAGTGCAATATATCTGCTTTGAAATTAAATAATGTAAAAATGTCACTCTTTAGGCCTTATGTGGATTGCCAAATATTAATTATCCATTACTCATACAGTAATTCAAATTATATCTTAAAAGCAGTTCTTAAATTGCCAGTTTTTTTTGGATGTGGGGTGAGGGGGCACTGGTCATATGTCAGAGGCCTATAATGGATTGATTTATACATTGCAAACATTCCTACATATACATGATTTTTATAACAACTTTGTGTATTTATCAAGACAGAAGGAATAAGGAAAGATTACATTTTCAGTACTGAACTTACAAATAACTGTTGTGAAGGTTATGTCATAAAAGCTTGCCTATCTGATGCTCTTTTAAAAAAATAAAATAGTTTATATCTAAAAGGAGTTCAAAATAGATGTTTCTCTTAAGATTCCATAGTAGGCTTTTCAATAAGGCTCAATATTTGCTCCTATATTTGCTCCTATTTCAATATTTGATCCTATAAAGATAAATTTTTTGCAACATTTTATTTTGTTTTTATAAATTATTTTATTTTATATAATTCTTACATCATTTTTCATGTTTGCATAATGTATGCATTTTCATTTTGGTTATATTCCCCATACAATTCCCACCCTCTTTTTCTTACCCTAATCCCTTCTCTCCTCCCCCCACAGTCCCACTGTAGTGTGTCTCTGGTCTATAGTTGCTTGTTGATTTTGATTTTTACTTTATTGCAATTAGTCTTTTTCCTGGTCCCTTATTTAGGTTTTCTAAATTCCTGCTATGAGTGAGTCCATCCGGTATTTTTCTTTTTCTTTCTGGCTTATTTTGCTGAGCATGATCCCATCCAACTCCATCCATGTTGCTACAAATTGCATGAGTTTATCTTTTTTGATTGCTGAGTAATATTCCATTGTGTATATATACCACATAAAGATAATTTTAACTGAGAATATAAGAATGAGTTAAAAAGGTCTTCACTCTTTAACTTGAATAAACCAATTTCTCGTGGCTATCCTGCATGTCAAAGCAGAATGCAGGGTTGTATGTATATTGATTACCTTGTACATCTGGATAGAGATTGAAAGAGAAATGCCAAAATAAGATATAGGTTCTGTAGGATTGGAAAGTGTTTCTTTTTTAAAAAGATTTGCTGTAACACCATTCTAAAAATTAGTCCCAAAAAGTATGATTAAATGATCCCTTCTGTAAACTGGAATAACCCTCTTAATGGGCTTTTTATATAAGCCAAATGATGTATATCAAACTTTACTGATCTGCTATACACACTCATTACATATCTTAGTTATCTTTACTATAATCACCTGATATGTTTATATCACACTTTTATTTTTTTCCATGAAACATTACCAAAAACTCACTAACCTGAATGAGGTAATGTGAAACAAGAAAAACTCAGTGTTTTAAACATAGGAACAGGCATAGAATCACGGCCTAGATAGTCTAACAGACATCAAATAATGACGACAGATATCTGTGACTTAGTTTACAAGTTACAATTTGCATTATAGCTGCAAGATCTTTATAATTTTGTAAGACCAAATGTGAATACTTTATGGTGGCTTATGACATGCCTCTAAAGAAGCAGTGCTGCTAGGAAAGCTGAAGTTGAAATAGGAAGAAATTGGCCTGGAGGAACTGACACTTTGAGGAAGCTCACTACTCTTCCTTTTATTTTCCGATGTGGATGTTTGCTGAATTTCTGCTCCCTGTGGCCACAAATTCCATCTCAGAGTAGACTCATCTAAGGCTGCTCTTTAATATACAATTACAATGCACAGGTGTGGAATTCCACAGAGATGGAAACAGTCAGTGAGAACAAAGCACTCCAGACACTGTGCATGGAGAACCATGGAGAAGTATCCAGGTGGATCCATTCTGACCACTACAGGTACCTTTACCTGTGAGCCACTGGCTCGTCCAATGGCCCTTCCTAACCCCTCCCATCACTTGGATGTTTCATGACTTATGTCTGTATATTCATTTTATGTCTGACTTTGAGCAGCTGGATGTAGAATCAAATGCTTAACTTAACTTTCCTTCTCTGTCATGCTGTGGTCTCAGGTGTCAGACATCCTGCTTCCATTCCATTCCCTGATCCTCACTTCCTAACTCTGGGACTTCGTACAAGCTATTAAACCTCATTTAAATTCTGTTTAAAAAAGCAGCACCATCTTTTAATGCTATTGTGAAGACTAAATAAAATATGTCAGTTGCTTCACATATAGTAGGTATCCAATGAATGCTCTGTAATTGTCGAAGTGGTAATAGAATCTCTAGGAAACAGTGAAAATAAGAGATCTAGAACCAAGCTTTTTGGGAGAATCCAGACCCTGGCTTTCTTACTTTAATTAATAACAACAGTAATAGTAACTATAACACCCTTGTGGAATTGCAAGAACTAAACAACTACTATCAAGTAGTTGGCACATAGTAAACAATGTTTGCAACTATTAGCATTACTCTGCCTATGACTCTAATTGCTTAGCTCTTCCTATTACTTAACTGTATAGTAAATATAAAATAAAAATAAACCAGGACTTTGTGAAGACCTACGGATACAAATATTCACATACACTTGATGAACAAGGATCCTCACTGCAGTACAATTTGTAATAGCCAAACTGAGAAAATTCTAAAAAGTCACAAAGGGAATTAGTTAAATGTAGACTCTTAACACTGTGGAATGCCAGGTACCCATTAAAACAAATGAAGAAGCATTAATATGAAGTTACACCTATGATAAATTGAAAAGGAAAGAACCATGAAGAGTCGTGTGTATTTTGTGTAATATGAATTTTGAATGTGAAGCTTAGTTAGAGATTCTCTAAAAAAAAATACAAGAAATTGCTAACTGTGATTGCTTCAGTGGGAAATCTGGGCTTGGGGAGAAGTGAAGGAAGACCTTTCCATAGTAGAGCAGAGTATGAATTTATGTTATATATATTTAAACATTAACAAATTTAACAGCTATATAAAAATTCATTATTCCTACTCGAACGTGCAATCTCAGGTTCTTTAAAAAGTCTCCATGCTCATGGACATGGCTCACCAGCTTATGACTGCCTGGTTGATCCAGAGGACATACAGCTGTA